CAACTGGGTAAGAGAAGAATGAATATTATGCCATAATTTATCACCAACAACTGGTTTTAAAATTCTGGAAATATTCACAAACACAGTTCTAAATTTAGTTAAGGAATAAAAGTACATAACTTGCTTATAATTATACAGTACCAGTACTTTATAAATATATGTTAATAACAGATATGTAAATAGGATACATTCGCTTTCTATTGTCACATCCATCCTTTTGGTTGCCAACACGGATTGTATCCTTTTCAATTTTGCCAAGTGCTTGCACAGCTTCAAATGTTTGTGCCTTAGTAAGCTTATACCCAACTGCTTGCTCAAGTTTTGGCTGCACTTCTGGCTGAGGAATAAAATGGCCAACTTGATAAACAAAATTTTTCTTAACTGCAGCAGCTAGTCCAACTACAAAATATAAGAAACATAATTAGAGTTAATGAGCAGGTAAACACATTTAACAATCACTACAAACTGCCTCAACAATAAACAGTGACCAAGTAAAGTAATGAGAGACTATGATGTACAGTTAAAATATATCATCACAGCAAAATGTATTTATTCTGAACATACAAATGTTGTGCAGTATCGTCGTGATGGAACATATTGCAAACAACACTTCTATGCTTCCCAATACAACATAGAATATACAAGCTTAAAGTTTTGAACTAAGTGTACATATTATATGAAATTTTAAACGAGTTTTTATATAAAAGCTATTGGCAGTGTTGTCCCTAGCTAGCCTTGTTCACGTTGTGCATTAATAGCTACTTATGTAGAGCTATTCTACACAGAATGTCACAAGATAATACATAAACAACTTGTGTACTTTAATTAAGATACTTAAAGCAACCAGTAAATTGTAAGCATGGCCATAAAAGGGTGTATAACAATCCATGTACATGTACCTGAAGATTTCTGAATTCTTTTTTTCGATTTTCTGTAGCCGGGACTTGGAGTAAATCTTGGACCTTGCCTCTTTCGGCCTTTTATTGAAATAGGGCTGCTTGGAACAACTGACTCTGGTTTTCCTTCATTGTCTGGACAAACATAAATCCGAATAAAACGAAATTATATCAAAATATGCACTGGTGAAACCTAACACCGTTCAAGTGTTAACTTCCGTATAATTTATATCAACAATAGTATGACATCAATATTCAAATTTTTGCATATTTAAATAATGTAAAGGAGTCTGAGTAACGATTTAACTGTTATAAAATTGAATTTTCTAAACTTACCTTGCACATTATCCAATAGTTCGGCCATTTTGCAATCAGGGCAGTTTCAGGGCAGATGTTGGGAAATCTACTAGGCCTTCTATTTTTCGTTTTTCCTCCCCCTCCCCCCCCAGGTCCCCTTGTCCTCGTCCCCAGTCTCCTGAATAAAACTCTGGGAGAAAATATGAAGGCCTGGTGTCTAGGCTGCATCAGACCATCGTTTGTCATACGGAAAAAACTACTTTTGATTTGAATAAACTTCTACACTAATTTCTGACTGTCGTAGCAACTGACTTTGGTGAATTGCTACATAAATACTGCCGGTGAAAAGATCGTATTCTATAGGTAAGTCTGTGTAAGGTTGCATTTATCTGATAATGATAGTTTTAAAAGTGGGCAAGAAAGTAAATAATCTCGAGTCTGTTGGGAGCGCGCAGCATAATGCTTCATGCCCTTACAAAAATGTTCTATAGAATATTCCATTAAAATTCTCTATTGAATATCCTATAGAATATTCTAAGGGATTTTGGAACCTATTCTATGGAACGTTCTACAACATGTTCTATAGCACCTTTAATAGAATATTCTATAACATATGCCATGTTTTATAGAATATTCAATAGAATATCCTTCAGAACATTCATTAGAATGTTCTATAGAATACTGGTATTCTATGGAACATTCTAACACATATTCTATGACATCCAATATGAAATGTTCCATAAAATATTTTCAATCTATGGAATATTCCATTAATGATCCTATTGAATATGTGATAAAATGTTCCATAGAATATGTATTCTATAGTATATTTTATAGGATAATCTATTAAATATGCTATTGGATGATAAATGGTATATTCAACATTCGTCCATGTTTCGACTTTGAAATATATCACTTTATAACAACATAATCAAAACTTCTTTCTGCCAAGAGTGAGATATACAAACAAATAAAATATTCCCAAATATATGTAACAAATTTATTTACTTAAAGTTCAATTGATGCAAAGATTTAATGAAAATGCCTTGCTTAAATTACATATAAATAAATCTAGAGATTAAAGAAATTGAAATACATATATTATACAACAAAGAATAAAAAACAAGTCCTATAAGTGTCCATATAACTTTAATCTGCATGTAGAACTCTAGTTCTGGTAATTAAGTCTGTCAAATAACCATTTTGTTTCGTGGATAAAACAACTGCAGCCGGTTGTTTGAAGGCTGTTTAGCTTAAATTGTAGTTAAGTAAAATTATATACATTTCACACATTTTGAGGAGGATTCAATTGAAATATTATGCACTAAGTAATTGAAAACAATATGGTGTCACTCAAATTGAAATATTTTAGCTTGGTTTTTTATGAATGTATAAATTTATTTAATATTTTCTAGATAAAATTATTACCATACTGCAGTTTTCCCACCAAATAAAATGACAGTGTGCAAGAAAATAGCAAAAATATAACTAGGCTATTATACTAAATATATTTACATGTACAGAACATGTAAATAGTAGAAAATGGAATGTCATATAGTTACTGATGTCCAGATGCTTTCAACTTGGTTTTCTCAACTTGCACAATATTATTAATTTTTGGTGCCATAACTTGTCATATGTCAGCCTCTTTTCCCTCAAACCTTTTTGCACCATACTTTAGACACAGCTAGAAAAGGTAAAACTCATCAATAACTGAACCAAGATATGTATATAAGATATATTAACTTAGACCAGACATAATTACTAACAATTATACTGCTTACCATATATACTCTTAACTTTCTCTGGCTCTGGTTTTGCATCCTTTTCTTTGAATTAAGCTAGGCATTTGAAGCCTTTCCAGTGATGGAATGAGAGCAAAGTTGTTCTTGCATCGATGGCACTGCATAAACAAAACCTTTCACATTTAATATTGCTTTAATAGAGCTCCATTTTGACCTTTGGTTAGTGTGATGCTTGGACAAAAGGAAATCTGTAAATTTTAACAGTAAACACACAATTAAACACTTGAGACCTAGCTTATATTTAATTCAATTTTAGTGATATATAAAATTTATCTAGAGCTAGTGCAAATGTCTTGACAGAAATAATTTTTAGTTGGAATGGCTCTATTTATAGTGGTATAAATAAAAGGTGTAAATAAAATGTTCAAATAAAAAGTTTAATCTAAAGGTGAATAAAAATTTATGAGATTAATTATAATGGTATACAGAACATATGTTGCCTATACAAACATATAGCATTTATAATATAGCATATATAAAACACACTCACCACTGAATTCCAATACTTTAGCTACACATGTTGTTGTATAGATGGGTGAATGAACTTTTGATTATTTTCTTAACTTTAGAAATTTCTCATCGCCATGGCCTTTCTTTCTCACGATCCTAGTCACCTTTCAGGCATTCACAAAATTATCCATATCTTCTGATTCTTCTCGCATAATACAGCGCGTTTCACCACCGTCCTATGATTCCTCTTTGACAAATTCAAAGAATGCGTATTTTATGTTAAAATACGAAAGAAAAACGCACTAAATTCTACCAGCATCAGTTATAAAACGTTGAATCAACGGATGACAAACTACATACAAAGACGCGCTCAAAATTTGAAAATAATGCGTGGCGGTTAAACAAGTCCCACATAACCTTGCGGCCTTGTTTGGGCAAAACGCCCGCCATCTAACCTGCGAACAGGCATATTATGAAACAGATATCTACGGTGGCCCATAAGGGACACCGCTTCACACTAAAAAGCGTGCGCGATTTCTACATAAAAGTTGCGCCTGCTCCGTAGAAATAGGCCTTCTCCGTAGAAATAGGCCTTCTCCGTAAAAAAATAGGCTTTCTCTCCGTAGAAGTGGACCTTCTCCGTAGAAATAGGCCTTCTCCGTAGAGATAGGCCTTCTCCGTAGAAGTGAACCTTCTCCGTAGAAATAGGCCTTCTCCGTAGAAGTGAACCTTCTCCGTAGAAATAGGCCTTCTCCGTAGAAGTGAACCTTCTCCGTAGAAATAGGCCTTCTCCGTAGAAGTAGGCCTTCTCCGTAGAAATAGGCCTTCTCCGTAGAAGTGAACCTTCTCCGTAGAAATAGGCCTTCTCCGTAGAAATAGGCCTTCTCCGTAGAAATAGGCCTTCTCCGTAGAAAAATAGGCTTCTCCGTAGAAATAGGCCTTATTTCAAATTTCCATACCATTCATATTTTTAGCACTATATATCGGGTTAAATTAAACGAAATTATAGTGGTGTACTGATAGTGTAGTGGTCAAACTCCCAAATTGAACATCTACAATACCTTTTGGTTAGAAAAAATAAGGTAATAAGGGGTTTGGGTTTATTTTTCAGTGTAATTTGTCTTTAAAAATAATAAGAATGGTTCGAGCGTTTGGTTGATGGAAAATAGTGCTACCTCTCTCTCCGCCCGTGATGTAACGCATCCCCCCGTTTTTAATCGTTTCTGTCTTTCGTTTAATCGTTATTCTTCGTGAAACTGGTCGAAATTTTGTAATTGTATCTAAAACTACAGCCTTGAGAATGGCAAGATTTTGTCAAGATTGTGGGACGAGATATGCAAATGACCAGGCGAATTTTTGTCATAACTGCGGAGCAGAATTTCCAGGCAAGTAAATGCAATTATTGTAACATCAATACGTTACTTAGATATATATTATATGTGTATCAATTTATTTGTTTATTGTAGAAATACTTGACAGCAATGATGAACAAAGAAACTACATTGAGTACTATTTTCATCTGGGATATAAATATGAAGATATTGTCAATTTACTTGATATATATCATGGTATTTCTATCTCTGTCCGTACTTTGAAAAGGAGACTAGTGAAGTTTGATCTAAAGAAAAAGAATGTCAACTTTAATGAGCAAGAGCTGCGAAATATTATTCAGAAAGAAATAGAAGGGGTGGGTCAACTTGCAGGGTACAGAAAGATTTGGCACGTTCTTCGAATTAATCATCATATACATGCACCCAGAAAACTTGTTGCCCAAATTGTCCATGACCTAGATCCCCAAGCTAGCAAGGAAAGAAAAGGGCGTAGGTTGAAAAGAAGAAAATACATGTCATATGGCCCTAATCATTGCTGGCATATTGATGGTATTGTCTTGAATTTAATTATCTTTACTTGTTCATGTTCTTGTGTGTCATGATGCATGCATGCTGAAAATGTTAGATAATCAAAGCAAGTAAATTCCTGTTAATGATTTTTTCCAATGTAGGTTATGATAAGATTAAACCATTTGGTTTTCCTATCCATGCAGCCATTGATGGCTTTAGCAGGAAGGTGTTATGGTTGGAGGTCTGCAGATCAAACAACTCTCCAACAGAGCCAACGAAACTGTATTTGGATTGTGTCAGTGAGCACAGAGGATGTCCATTATTAACCCGTACAGACTATGGAACAGAAAATGGACATATTGCTGCTATCCAGTGTTACTTTCAATCAGATGAGGAGGCCCATAAATATGGGACATCTACCAGAAATCAAAGAATAGAAAACTGGTGGTCCCATTTCAGGAAATCATGTGCTGGCTGGTGGATCAACTTTTTCAAGGATTTGCAAGATAATGGGACATTTGACCTTGAAAGAACTTTACACAGGGAGTGTCTATGGTTTTGTTTCCAAGGGGTTATACAAGCATCATTAGATAAGATGAAAGAATACTGGAACACTCACTATATAAGACCATCACGCCACGAAACTATTCCAGGAGTTCCTGATATTTTATTTTATTTGCCTGAACGTTCAGGAGGCATGGACTGTCTTGTTCCAGTAAGTAATGATAAAATTGTTGAAATGAAGCTACAACACAATGAAGAAGCTGATGAAGAAAATACTTACCATGAATACTTTCAATATGTTATGGACTTAGAAGGTATTGAATATCCTGACAGTCCACATGAGGCCATTATGTTGTTTACATACTTAACTGAACAAGCTGGAAATGATGTATTTCCGGATGTTGAAAACTAACATTTACTGATTCACATTATGCACCACTAGCTGGCTTGATAAAATAAAAGACTTGAATATTCATATAAAATTTTAATGTAAAAAAAACATATATGAATGAATGTTTGATCACAGGCCTTTGCTATGAGTGGTTCAACAACAAGATTTGCTGTTAATTTCTATTGTAAATTAAAGTCAGATGGGAATTTTTTTTGCTTGAGATTTAGTATTAAAAAAAGCTACTTTTATAGACAAAAACAAGTTAAAAATTGGTCCATGTAGCTTATACAAGCAAGGTTTATCGGTATATATTGCTACCAATGCTATGACAAATGCCTTTGATCAAAATGTTGGAATACCCCTTGAATTAGGTGATGAAAACAAGCATGTGCCTTGGAGAGATTGCACATACTGTATATGTATCATAACAAAAATATGAACACTTTCAATAAAGAAACAGTTTAAAAATGTTTTGAACAATATAGAGTCCTTTTCAGTACTGGCCTTCCATTTCAGATGTCCTGAAAGATGTGATGAAACTTTGTTTTGCATTACAACAAACCAAATCCTTTACCTTCAATAAGTGCTGAATCTATTGACTCTTTAAATTGGATGTAGCTTTCATAATTGTGGACTGGTAGGGTAATGCTGAGATCACATGTTGAGGCAGTCGGCCTACACTTACACCTCTCCATACAACCATGCTTAAATTTGACTGATATACGCTTTGGCAGTCCTAAAGGTGGTATCTTCTCACATCCTGTAATGAACTTGTGTAATTCACCTAGTGTGATTAAACCATTGGTTTCTAAAAGAAGAGGATTTATTACAAGATTTAAACATATTGAAAGTCGGAACCAATTGCTTATCACACCGAAAAATATTGGTAGTGTTGGGTCGTGTTGTACAGCTTGTGGCTTTACCTTGTTCTTCCAAACCATCAGTATCCTGCACGAAATCACAGAAAAATTTGTGGACATCAACTTCTTTATCTTTGCGATTGCTGCCATCTTCACTAAATACTGCATAAATTCCATCTAAGAATTGATCAGTAGTAGGCATATAGTATTTGGAATGTTTTGCAACAAATAATGCTTCCATTATCAGTCTATTTTCCCTCAAAGCATCCATCACCCCAAAGGAACTCAATCCAGCAGCAAGCTGATCTAACATGGGTAAATATCTTGAGAAATCATACATAACGATTGGTCTAAAAAAAAGCAGAAACTAAACGAATATCCTTTATTTTTTGATGAAAGAAAAATAGTAATATCAAAGAAATGGATATCTATTCGTATACATTTTACAGGATACAGCATCATCCACTAATATATGGTCCTACAGCATATTAGGTAAATAGTACAGTAGGTATTGTATATGCAAATATTTTGTAATTTCAATGGCATGAGAAATTCCAAAATATAACCATCTTAAATATGTTGATCATTACTGGGCCAATTGAGTAAAAGACCATAACATGCAGTATTACAGCAAAGGTTCCATTGTTTTTGCCAAAGAGTGTATGCTTACCTTAAAATTTTATCTACAGATTGTAACGATTCTCTTGAAGGCACTCCTCTGTAGCGAATTAGTTGCAAAATATCCATCATGTTTTCTTCCACTAACAACTTTTGCAGGCTCTCGTCGGTTGTGCAATTTTTAATTTTTATATCATTTAAAAGAGTAAAACATTAAAATTAATTCTAAACAAAATGTAATAGAGAGTGTAGCTTAAATAAATTTTACTGCATGAAATTAGTCGTTCCAAGTTGTTACCTGACTTATAGCGTCTATCGATCAGCTTCTTATCTTTTATTTGAGGCACCCACCCATCAGTTGTAATATTTGAAATACCTTCAACCAAATATGCATAAGCTTCCTCTGAAAGAAAACATGGTGCTGGCCCACCTTGCACGATAGAGCCAGCCATCAGTTCACCTGCCAACTTGAATTTGTTGCTGCCAATTACAAAAATGTTCTATAGAATATTCCATTAAAATTCTCTACTGAATATCCTATAGAATATTCTAAGGGATTTTGGAACCTATTCTATGGAACATTCTACAACATGTTCTATAGCACCTTTAATAGAATATTCTATAACATATGCCATGTTTTCTAGAATATTCAATAGAATATCCTTCAGAACATTCATTACAATGTTCTATAGAATACTGGTATTCTATGGAACATTCTAACACATATTCTATGACATCCTATATGAAATGTTCCATAAAATATTTTTAATCTATGGAATATTCCATTAATGATCCTATTGAATATGTGATAAAATGTTCCATAGAATATCTATTCTATAGTATATTTTATAGGATAATCTATTAAATATGCTATTGGATGATAAATGGTATATTCAACATTCATCCATGTTTCGACTTTGAAATATATCACTTTATAACAACATAATCAAAACTTCTTTCTGCCAAGAGTGAGACATACAAACAAATAAAATATTCCTAAATATATGTAACAAATTTATTTACTTAAAGTTCAATTGATGCAAAAGATTTAATGAAAATGCCTTGCTTAAATTACATATATATAAATCTAGAGATTAAAGAAATTGAAATACATATATTATATATATACAACAAAGAATAAAAAACAAGTCCTATAAGTGTCCATATAACTTTAATCTGCATGTAGAACTCTAGTTCTGGTAATTAAGTCTGTCAAATAATCATTTTGTTTCGTGGATAAAACAACTGCAGCCGGTTGTTTGAAGGCTGTTTAGCTTAAATGGTAGTTAAGTAAAATTATATACATTTCACACATTTTGAGGAGGATTCAATTGAAATATTACGCACTAAGTAATTGAAAACAATATGGTGTCACTCAAATTGAAATATTTTAGCTTGGTTTTTTATGAATGTATAAATTTATTCAATATTTTCTAGATAAAATTATTACCATACTGCAGTTTTCCCACCAAATAAAATGACTGTGCAAGAAAATAGCAAAAATATAACTAGGCTATTATACTAAATATATTTACATGTACAGAACATGTAAATAGTAGAAAATGCAATGTCATATAGTTACTGATGTCCAGATCTTTGGTGCCATAACTTGTCATATGTCTGCCTCTTTTCCCTCAAACCTTTTTGCACCATACTTTAAACACAGCTAGAAAAGGTAAAACTCATCAATAACTGAACCAAGATATGTATATAAGATATATTAACTTAGACCAGACATAATTACTAACAATTATACTGCTTACCATATATACTCTTAACTTTCTCTGGCTCTGGTTTTGCATCCTTTTCTTTGAATTAAGCTAGGCATTCGAAGCCTTTCCAGTGATGAAATGAGAGCAAAGTTGTTCTTGCATCCACGGCACTGCATAAACAAAACCTTTCACTTTTAATATTGCTTTAATAGAGCTCCATTTTGACATTGGTTATTGTGATGCTTGGACAAAAGGAAATCTGTAAATTTTAACAGTAAACACACAATTAAACACTTGAGACCTAGCTTATATTTAATTCAATTTTAATGATATATAAAATTTATCTAGAGCTAGTGCAAATGTCTTGACAGAAATAATTTTTAGTTGGAATGGCTCTATTTATAGTGGTATAAATAAAAGGTGTAAATAAAATGTTCAAATAGAAAGTTTAATCTAAAGGTGAATAAAAATTTATGAGATTAATTATAATGGTATACAGAACATATGTTACATGTACAAACATATAGCATTTATAGCATATACAAAACACACTCACCACTGAATTCCAATACTTTAGCTACACATGTTGTTGTAGATGGGTCAATGAACTTTTGATTATTTTGTTAAGTTTAGAAATTTCTCATTGCCATGGCCTTTCTTTCTCACGATCCTAGTCACCTTTCAGGCATTCACAAAATTATCCATATCTTCTGATTCTTCTCGCATAATACAGCGCGTTTCACCACCCTCCTATGATTCCTCTTTGACAAATTCAAAGAATGCGTATTTTATTTTAAAATACGAAAGAAAAACGTACTAAATTCTACCAGTATCAGTCAGGCCACAGCAGTGAGCTCCACATATATCTGGAGTAAGAACTTTGGGTGCAAAAAGTGAAGCCAAAGATGGCGGACACTGAAGCGCTATAGTACGTCAGTTTCAGTCCCCTAACTCGCGCGGCCAAATATTTCTCATTGTTTTTGACCGGGAGTGACGGTTCCCGAAACCCTCAGATTTTCGTGTTTTTCATCATTTTGAGAGTACAAGAATGGGAAAAATTGATTCATTTTACTGAGAATCTATTTCTCTGCATCTACCCGATGTAGGTGCCGCATTTTCCGACTGTACGAGTGAGTAAATATGCATTTTTCGCCGTAAATTCAACTACGCATTTCAGATTTGTTTAATTTTGAGTTATTTTCATATATTTTCACCTTATGTTTTGAGTTTCTTGTTTCCTTTTTGGTTTCGAAACGCTTTAAAACAAGTTGTCCTTTATTTTTTGGCCAGCTTTCCTAGCATAGTGCTTTTTTAAAGTTTTTTTTATACTTGCATTTTGAGTCTTGTTTATAAATTTCATAATCATATATTAGTCATATTTCAAACTCGTACGTTTTTCAGCATAATTTTCTTTCCTATTAATTTTTTACATGAATGAAAGCCTTATATATAGATGAATTAAACTGAGAAAAGTTTTATTTATGTTTTTTGGGAAGCATATTCTGTGAGTAAATGTTGTGATTTGCGAAAAGCCGAAAACATCAACAATCCGCCACTCCTTAGCTTTCCTTGTAAGATATCGCTTATTTCTTTGTTAATTTAATTGAAATATAAAAGTATCTCAATACAAAGCATTAATATTTTACCTTTCATTGAAATTCCCCTCATTTTTTACTCAAAAATAGGAAAAAATAAAGTTAAACCGCGCACATAAGAGGACTGAAACTGACGTACTATAGCGCCTCAATATCCGCCATCTTTGGCTTCACTTTTTGGCCTCGCGGAAGTCTTAAGTTCTTACTCCAGATATATGTGGAGCTCACTGGGCCACAGGCAGCCCGGTCACTGCTGTTACGTCATGTTATTATATATGTATATAATTACAATAAGGCTGGCAACTCTCTCGCTAAAAATATAATACATACATTAATACCATCGCTTGAAACAAAAATACTACGCTAGTTTCTTAAAAAAAACTAGACACAAAACACCTTGGATATATTGACTATATTTATCTGTCATTTTTAGACTTGAAAAAAACTCTAAAATGCTCAAATTTTCGAATTAAAAGTGTATTTTCGTTGAAATTTTGCGAAACAGAGGCGGGATGCAATCAGTGAGCTCCACATATATCTGGAGTAAGAACTTAAGACTTCCGCGAGGCCAAAAAGTGAAGCCAAAGATGGCGGATATTGAGGAGCTATAGTACGTCAGTTTCAGTCCTCTTATGTGCGCGGTTTAACTTTATTTTTTCATATTTTTGAGTAAAAAATGAGGGGAATTTCAATGAAAGGTATAATATTAATGCTTTGTATTGAGATACTTTTATATTTCAATTAAATTAACAAAGAAATAAGCGATATCTTACAAGGAAAGCTAAGGAGTGGCGGATTGTTGACGTTTTCGGCTTTTCGCAAATCACAACATTTACTCACAGAATATGCTTCCCAAAAAACATAAATAAAACTTTTCTTAGTTTAATTCATCTATATATAAGGCTTTCATTCATGTAAAAAATTAATAGGAAAGAAAATTATGCTGAAAAACGTACGAGTTTGAAATATGACTAATATATGATTATGAAATTTATAAACAAGACTTAAAATGCAAGTATAAAAAAAACTTTAAAAAAGCCCTATGCTAGGAAAGCTGGCCAAAAAATAAAGGACAACTAGTTTTAAAGCGTTTCGAAACCAAAAATGAAACAAGAAACTCAAAACATAAGGTGAAAATATATGAAAATAACTCAAAATTAAACAAATCTGAAATGCGTAGTTGAATTTACGGCGAAAAATGCATATTTACTCACTCGTACAGTCGGAAAATGCGGCACCCACATCGGGTAGATGCAGAGAAATAGATTCTCAGTAAAATGAATCAATTTTTTTCCATTCTTGTACTCTCAAAATGATGAAAAACACGAAAATCTGAGGGTTTCGATAACCGTCACTCCCGGTCAAAAACAATGAGAAATATTTGGCCGCGGGAGTTAGGAAACTGAAACTGACGTACTATAGCGCTTCAATTTCCGCCATCTTTGGCTTCACTTTTTGCACCCAAAGTTCTTACTCCAGATATATGTGGAGCTCACTGGATGCAATTTACTCGACAAACGTCATCATCGGAGAATTCGTCGGCAAACTTCTGATTGGCTGTGGCAAGTTCGGAAAATTACGAAGGTCAACTCAATCAAGAAAAAATAGGTCCGCAATGCGTACATGCGCCCGCTGTTCCGCGAGGAATTCGTTTTCTCGTAAGTAAATGGTTAACATTGTGTGAAGAGTTGATTAGATTTTGGTTGAATTTTGTTGTGAATTGGGCGAGAAATTAATAAGGAAATAAAACGTTTCTCAGTAGTGGGAAGTTATAGGAATGCATAGTGATATTTTAATTATTAAATCACGCGTGCAAAGTCTGTTTTGAATCAGGCATTCACAATGAAAGATTATCTACGGATTTTTCTGTAATTGCGGTGCCCTAGCACCGCATTATAATTGCTCGGTTTT